ATTTGAAATAAAACTAAGTACTTTGATTGCATAATGCAATGATTTAAAAGAAATCATGACTTTAGGATATGATTTGTAATGAGGGGACTTCCCACAATCTTATAAGAAGGGAAAAGAAAGTCTCCCGTTTCAAATCTCTTTGGGAAGATTTAAAAAGATAGAACAAAAAGTTCACTCCTTTTATGTCGGATTTCAACTATAATAGTTCCTATTTTGATTAATTTTGAAGGGTAGCGAAAAAGATAATAATGTAAATTTTTACATGATGAAAAACACAATATTTATATAGGAGTTAAAATGAATGATAGTCCTATGATCTAAAAAGTAATTTGTTGTATTTTATTAGATTACAGATAAATAAACCGGTAGAAGTAAAATTACAAAGAAACCAAAATATTCGATTTTGGTCTCTTTTGACCAAAAAAAAATTATACCAATAAATTTCATAAATTTGTTAGATTTTGAAAAGGAAAAAAACCCAAAAAATAGGGCCCAACCATGTAAACTATAAATAAAGCTCCATTGCAAAATCTACGGCCAGTAGACAACTGAATTTTGACAAATTGGTATAAACAAAGGGGAGAAATATGAGCTTTTTGGCCGGAAGATTGGCCGGGAAAGAGGCGGCATACTTCATTCAGGAATCCAAACACGCCATCGGCCGGCTTGTCCAGAAAAACACGACCCAGAAGTTTCCGGCGCAGCCACCGCCTTCTTCCCATTCACCGGCGGACGGTGAATTGCAAGCCGACATTCTTCCCGAGGTCTTACGGCACTCTCTGCCCTCTAAAATCTTCAGGGAGCAATCTGCAGACTCTAATGGCTCCCTCGTTACTTCTAAATGGGTTCTTCCTTCTGACCCGAATCGTCGATCCGTATCTTCAGATGCTCTCAACCCTCTTAGGGCTTTCCTCACCCTTCCCCAGGTTACATTCGGCCCCAAAAGGTTTGTCTCACTCCCAATTTGTTTGTCTTTTCCCATTGATTTCGTTTCATTGTTTCTGAAAATGCTGAATTTCGAATTGGAACTTCCAGTTGTGCTTGTATTTGTGTATCTCAATTTCTCTGCCTAATTGGGTTAAGTTCCTATGAACTGGATTTAGCCCTTTGCTTTGTGTTGGTTTCTGGCTTTTAGCCATTTACTTTTAACTGAAGAAACAGTTGTTGGGTTGAATTCTTATCTATCTTCTGTCGTCCTCCTTGGTCCAATTCCAGACTTGTTATACAAGTAGTGAGTTTTGAGGTGATTATGAGAGCAGGATGTCAATCTTGAAATGATTCTGATGTGTATGGAAAGTAAATAGTATCTATGAAGATGAGAAATTTCGATTTGCGGAGCGAATAGTTGTTTGGAGATGTGCTTTTGACTTGTAACAGTTGTATCATTTGATGTTAGGAGTGCTGTTACATCCTTCATTTAGGGACAAGTGAGGAAGGCTTCTCCTTTGTGGAGGGTGGCTTTTTATTATTTTGTGGCTCTAGAGTAATAGGAGAAGTTATAGAGCACTGGAGATTTGTGGGGAGCTGTAGAATACAACTAAGTTCAATGCGTACCTCCCATGTTTGTATCTAAACCATCTTTTTCTCTTATATTCAACAGTTCGAGCCATTTCTTGCGATTCTTCTTTTTCTTTCTTTTTTGTTTTGTTTTTTGTCTTTTGTATTTGGTTTTACATTGGAGCTTTTTTTTCACTTCTCTGCGGCCATGTGCATTCTTTCATTTGCTTGAGAGTTTGGTTTCTCATTCGAATGCAGGTGGGAATTGCCTCAATCTGAAAACTCAGTCTTGGCCTCAACTGCTAATGACCTGCGCGCCGACAAGCATACTACCATCAATCCTGAGAAGTTGAAGGCTGCTGCTGAAGGCCTTGCACATGGTAACTCCTCCAAAGAAAAAAGTTTCTCATTCTCTCTCTCTCTCTCACACCCTAATCATTAGAGTTTTGGTTTCCATGTAGTTGGAAAGGCATTTGCTATAGCTACTGCGCTTGTCTTTGGTGGTGCTACCTTGATCTTTGGATTCACAGTGTCCAAGCTCGATCTCAACAATGTAAACAGATATTGGATTCCTTTACTCTTGGTGTGTATGCACTTATAAATCCATTTAACTCAAGTCGTGGCAATTTTACTTTTGACAGTCCAACGAGATTCAAACAAAAGGAAGAAACCTGATTGAACCAAAGATGGAGATGATTAGAGAGCAACTGGTTCCCTTCAAAACATGGGTGGGTATATTACTATCATTTTTAGTTATCCCAGCATTACCCTATTACTGGATCTTACTGTTCTTTATCTAACTGAGAATTTTTCGAGTCGCAGGCTGAGGATATGTCGAAGAAATGGCATGTAGAAAGAGATAAAGATATCAAGGAGAAGCCTCTCATAAAGGAACTCTCAAAGACTTTGGGTGCCAAGACTCCCAACTGAACTGTACATTTTTTTACCTTCTGTTGTTTATCATGTATATCTGTAAATAATAGAGTTCCATATTCCTATCTTCACAGATGGAGTGGTGAATTTTACTGCTCGCTAGCGAAGTTATATATAAGATCGATGTTGCTTTAATGCCTGAGACCGAAACTATAGGACTTTACCACTTCCTGTTTCTTTCTCAATCTTGTTCTTCACAGCTTGTAATCTAAACCAGCTCCATACTTCCAGGCCTCAAGTCGTCGTTTCCACTCGAAATTCATCTTTGGTGCTAGTGAACTTAGGAACAGCCTTGAAAAATATACAAGTTGGTAAGAATCTAGGAGAAATGTGAACTGAAGAATGCAAGTAAAAGTATGTTTCACAAAATGGGGTGAGGGAGAAGTAAGGTTTGGCAAGGTTTGGCTTTGTTCAACATAACCTGCTAGAACCATTTACCTTATAATCGGATCGATAAATGTTGAGAGAAACGTGTAGTACCCAAGCATGCCAAAATGTCCTGACCAGTCAAGCAGCACCGGGATCCCAACCTAGAGCTCAATAAAACATGACACGACTCATATAACAATGCATGTTAAATTCAATATCTATGAGAAAACTGAACCTACTAAGAAACAGGTAAGCCTCAATGATCTTAAACTAGAATGGACTCATAACTCACCTGTTTAAATATTGTTGGAAGAAGCTGAGGTTTAGTTAACATAACTAAAGCTAGGGTCTGGGTTAGGGGTAAGAACTGCACAACATCCTGCCACATTAGGAACAACGAATAAGTCATCGCAATCGTTTCGAATGAATTAATAAAGGTGCAGAATTTCCAAAAAGCACAGCAATGACCTGAAGGAAGGGTCTTAGTACTGGATCCCCCAACCTCTGTGGAGAGACAAACCAGAAAACAAAAGAATTACAGAAAAATTCGATATCTGAATGGAAGAAACTGTGAGTACTGTTCCAGCAAAGTAAAAGCTTACCTGCATACTCTGAAAATTTACATGAAGAAGCTCATTGATAAAATATGGAGAAATGTTCGATTGTTGCTTTGCTGACATGGCTCTTTGAAACAACCATGAACTACTTAAATTGGGCTGCAATAGACATTTATGCCTTAGAAGTTGGGTAGTTATGACAAGAGCAAAGTAAATATCGAGGCAGAAATCAGCATGTTACCAACCATGTAAGGATTCAGCAGTGATAAGCTTTTTGAGTCGAGGAAGTTTCCAGTTACTGCTTCATGTATCCCTTTGAAATCAACAAAGAAATGAAATTTAGTAACTCGTGTGCTCACCAAACATCCTGAGCATATAACCAACATGGTCTTGTTTTTAGAAAAAATAAAGTTGTTTTGTTCTTTGTTCTTTGTTTTCCTGTCTCATGGACTGATTAGTTTAGTTGTGCTTTGAGTACCACGATAGATTAAACTGAACCAATGAAATTGATTGGCATTCTTTAAGATCTATCACAATGGTCACATTATGGATGGTTTTTTTATAATTGAACTATTGAACTCCACTCGCATTATGTTCATGGTCTACCCCACTATTATTTGGGGAGGCTTTGTACATTCCTGGCCAATTATTAAGTTTTCCATAGGAAGACTTAAACCCAAGACCTTGGAGGGTATCTCTAAACATCCCGAGTCATTAACACCGGGGAAGAACACTCATTCCACGGCCACTTAATAGAAAAGGAATGTGCTACAATAAGTTACAGTGACTGCATACCAGTTGACAGCCTTCCAAGGTGCCTAGTTAAGCTCCCAAAGCCACCAAATGAAACAGGTGACTGAATGCCACTAGCATCTCCGAACTGCAAAGAAAGATTTGGTGTTCTTTATGCATACAGTGTTTGATAATCAATCCATTTTCAGGTTCAAAATGCTAAATCTACATTACCTGCAGGACACGATCAAAAGCAGCAGGCAGCGGGCTGATTAAGTTGGGTGTCAGATACTACAATATCATATTGTACAGTTCATAGAAAAAAGAATGGAATATCACCCAGTCTCACAGTTACTGCTCTAAAATACATATGCTCTCAAACCTGCTTTATGGTAAAAGATCATTATGCCATGGTTTGTGTAGTTCATAAAAATACCTGTCGCGATAAGTTGGAAAAATTCCATATATAATTCTCAGTATCTTCAAGTCATCAAGAGAGACTCCCTATCATGAAGACATGTTTACAACTATGATCAACATCATGAGGTCTCATAGGGGAATAAATAAGATTTCCTTATGGAAATCAGCAGGATATGTTTCTGATAACTACTGCTAAAGATATGATGATATATAAGCATAAACCTGATATTTTGGCATCAAATCCCAGTATTCTTCTAAAAGTTCTTCCAGTTTTGGCGATCCTGGTTGAGGATTGATGTATGTAAACATGTAAGTAGTACGATCTACGGGACCTGAACCAGCTGGAAATGCCTGTCATATTGTAAGAAGACTTGAATCTTCAGCAGCAAAAACTCTTGCTAGTGCTGCCACAGAAACAAAGTTAACTCACCTCCCAGAAAAGTTGAACTTCTGAGGTTCCAACTTTGTTCAAGGATGAATTGCTGTAAATTACATCACTTGTTGAGTTATCCTTGAATCCACGAGCACAAGATCCAACAACAAGACAAACACCATCTGGCTTCCTCCCTTGTCTTATCTGCAACATAACTACTTACAACATTGTGAGAAAATAAAGGGGTTATGTAGCATTCATATGTTACAAACTTCTTCTGGAATAAGGTAGAACTTTACCTGTCTTACCACAGGTGAAAAATTCCCCATTGCATCGATAGTGAGTTGAGAAGATAAAAGGTTCCCATCAGAAAGTTGCATCGCCTGAATAAGTTTTAAGGTACTTATTTTAAATTGTATTCATTTGGTCATTGATATAATAGTTGCTACTAGTTCCACCATGTTATGCAGACAACAAGGATTCATCACACTTTGATATGACAGCAGGATCAAATTAACTATTACCATAAATCAACTCACAGTCATATCATCATATATGCAAATGCTTGAAACATTGCAACCCTCGTAGATGACTCCACCAAGAGAAACAAAACGTTTCTTAACAATCTCTATAAGCGTCTGAGGTCTGCAATGGCAGAATTAGAGAGAGAATCAGATTTACAGACTGAGTTTCAAATATTAATCCTTTATCATGTGCTCAGGTCTGAGGAGGCTATTAATTTGTCACTGTTCTTTTGATATGTATGAGAGAGAGAGAGAATTTAGTCAATCATTTGCAAAGCTCCAAAAGTGCATTACAATGTCCACAAGAAAAAGCTTACGAGACACCAAGATTGAGGATGTCTTCAACCCAGATTTCCCCTTTCCCTTCAAATCCACATCTGTTCTGCGCCATTAATGATCGATCAGCAAGGTTTTGAAAAACATTTTTAAAAAATAGTTAAATTTGCAGTCGCAGAGCAATTTTCTGCAAGGAGAACTCAAGAAACAGGAAGCAATACCATCTTCGTAGTTTATACGTTATAGCCAGAGAAATGATAATTAAATTAAACTTAGTTACCTAATAAATTTATTCAATCTTAAAGCTTACAGGATTAAACTTCATAGCCGTAGCTTGTTCAATGTCGTCTTCTGCTAGAACTCCAACTTCAACTAGTTCCATCAGCTCTTTCCTTGAGATGTTCCATTCTTGTTCCCTCTGAACCACGACAACCAACAAAAAGATGCCATTGGTAAGAAAGAACCTTTCTCATTGATAAAACTGATTCAATCTTGGATAAACTCCACTGTCAAATATTTACCCCTTTTAGAACATTTCTTTCGACTATCCCAACTCGAAGACCCTTCAAACTTAAAGCTGTGGCTATGAAGACTCCCAAAGTACCTCCACAGACCAACACATCGAATGTGTCAATGGCCTTCCCTCCCAAATCAGAACGGCTAAACGCACCAGAAACACGACGAACCACTTCTTGTGTGGCTTCAGCTACAGCAAAACAGCGAGCAAGTCAATAAGAACTGGCCTTGCCTCTGCCCCAAATCTGATCAAAACAGAGAAATTCTCACCTTCTTGGCCAGAGCAAATTCTGGACCAAATTTGATCCAACCTCTTCAATGCATCGTATGAATATGCTCCACCAGCACCACCGACTTCCCCAGAAACAGATATACCCTCCATTATCCTCTGAAAGAATACATTGCGACCATGTTAAACTATCTTCAAACCTAAAAGCTTAACTCGATAAGTTCCAATAAATCGAAGCTTGAAATGTTGCGATTCTTCAAAAGGGTCACCTGAGTTCTGGAAGACGCGACTTGGGTTTTAATCTTAGCTTGAATTCTGAGGTTCTTCTGGGGTTTTGCAGGCCTCTGTCGATGAAAGAGCGATCTTCCATTTGGGTTCGCAGGCAAGAGATTGCGGGGTCTCAGATGAACAGAGGCCATTGCTGTGGTGGGAGTGGATGATAAACTTTCTTCATTTATCGCTCTCTCTGTCGTAGAAGTTGAGATTGGTAATGGGTAATTTGGTATTGGATCATTTGCGAACAGAAAACGTACACGTTAACGACTAAACCTGTCATCGTCCTTGTATTCTACTTTGTTTCTTGAAAAGGAATTGTGAAACCGCGAGTCCCGGTTTCCGGTCAAAAGTTCCGTGGAATGGCCCACCCAATCCAATCCCTCGATGATATTTGATAAATTTTTATTTTTTATTTTTGGGATAAACCTTGGCTCGAGGGTTTTAGGGCTTGCAGCGACCCTGCAACTTGGGTTGCCTTCATTTCTCCAAATCTGCTGGTAACCATCCAATTTTTCTCTATATTTCTAACTATTGTAGTTCTATATCCTCTGTGAACTTGCCAATTTATGGATTATGTTTCATTAATTGATAGAATTTTTCCATCTTTCGAGTTCCAAGAATCCAAGACCCTTTCTTGCAAACTTAAGATTAAGTTTGATATTGTTTTCGTTTATGCATTTTCGAAACTCTCTACGATTTTGTATGAGGAATCGTATGATTGCAAATCGAAATACCCATTTCTACTCTCTTGAGCTCGAACTTTTTTGGTCAGTTTTGGTTGAATCTGGTGCTACTGAAAAAGAAATATCTGCTGGGAAAACTTTTCTCCAATTCAGTGTATTCATCTCAAAACTGGCCCCTGTAGAAATTGTGACTTCTAGACTTGCCATCCATACACTTCGGGTCTAAATGTAGACATTCCATGTGGAATCTCTGTATGCATGCCAAAAAATGTAACAGAGAGAAGGAATAATCACGAAGATTGAGAGAGCCCAACAACAGAATGAGCAGTCAAATTTGGTATATCTATATATTGGCTCTTTTAAACACCTCAAAGTTTCTCTTGATTCTTGCAGATAGTTGTATCCATTGAAGGGAGCATTCTTGTATTCTGTTAGGCATGGCGAGTATGATTGCTGCTCCTGCTCCTACAATGGGCGCATTCCAAGTGAATAAAGGGAGGGGAAACTGTAGAAAGTTGAGTTCTAGCATCAAGGGATGTCACAGAATAAGGGCTATGCGGATAGAGAAACCTCTCGAGGAGTTGTACAATGTAAGAGTAGAACGTAAGGTGTCGGAGGAGCGGCTTTCGGAGCTAGGAGTTTCGAGATGGTCGATATGGAAGACGGGGAAGTGTAAGCTGCCATGGGACTGGCAGGCAGATCAACTGGTTTACATTGAGGAAGGTGAAGTGAGAGTTGTCCCTGAGGGGAGCAAGCAGTACATGAGTTTTGTGGCTGGCGACCTTGTTCGCTACCCCAAGTGGTTTGAAGCTGACCTTTTTTTCAATGGGCCGTATCAAGAGCGTTACAGTTTCAGAGCGTATGGCGATGACTAATAGTCGTTGCATCGCAATAATGCTTCACGAAAACGCATTCGTTTCTTGTTTCTAGACTCTCCTCAGTTCATAGACATTTTCATGCAGATTTTGTTCATGCTTGAGTTCAAATCAATAGCTTATTAAAGGCTCTCCTTGTTTATATAAATTCTTGAATCAGATTGCATCAACAATGCGACGATGATGAATTAGCCGGTATAGACTTTTTTTTATTTATTGGTAGTGAGTACAAAAGATATGATTCCATCACTTACTTGTCCGATATGATTCATCAATTACTTGTCAATCATGAAAACAAGTTAATTCAACTAATACTCTTATACCTCAGTTAAAAGGATATTCTTAAAAAAAAAACATCTATCTTATCTAACCACAATTATGTGATCAATTATATATTATATTTATAATTGTACTCAACAAATATATTATATTTATAATTAAAAAATTATTAATAATTTTTAACAAATGAATTACAAAAATTCAAATTTTGTAGAGATAATAAACAATGACGCTGTAAAGATCACTGAATAAGCTAAAAGTTGCATTTTTAACAAATTCACACCAATTTTCAAAAGTTCTATCCGTGAACACCTAAGTATTATTAACAAATAATTGGATATTCAATCGGAAACTCCATTGTTGTAACTGTAAAATTCATTGCAAAATCTTGTGGATATTCGATTTAATTAAAATTGAGATCAAGGAGGGAAAATATTGTTTCCTTAAATTATTTTGAGAATGGAAAAAAATATATATATCCATTAGAAAAAAATATCTAAAACTTTTTTTTAGTGTTGGCATGAGATTAACTCAAGGATAATTAATATGTATTTTTAATTAGAAAAGTTATAGTTCAAATTCTCACACCTTCCCACCTTTCTACTCAAGAAAAAAACATTTTCCATTTTAGCAAAAGCTGACGAGAGACTAATTTTTAAGGTTTTTTTTTTTTTTGGTAAGTATAAAAACTAAAACATATAAAATCCGAAATTACATATATTTTATTTTATCTTATTTTGTGCAGAATAAAAAAGAAGAATTGTTCTTCTTCCATCGCCGAGAAACTGCCATTTCTACAAATCCTCTCTCTCGTCTGCTTAAAAGCTAAAAGTTGATTTGCCAGACTCTGCAAATTCGAGATCGTACGGATAAAGATGAGCGGGCACGACTCGAAATATTTCTCGACCACCAAAAAGGGTGAAATTCCCGAGCTCAAAGAGGAGCTTAATTCCCAGCATAAGGCATTTCTCTCTCTGTCTCTGTTTCTCTTCGCATTTGTATCGCTATATCAACGTCTGGGTTTCCATTTTTTGGTCCGTGATCTCTATCAATTTAGCTGCTTATAACTCATCTCTTGCTTTTGCTAGGAGGTTGTAATGCTAGTGTCTGAATGCCTGGAATTATATCAATGATTTCTGTTTTGTAATGCCAGTGTCTGAATTCCTGGAATTATAAGAGATTCGCTAGCATTGTATTTTGAGTCAGAATATGCGTCTATTAATACATTCGAGATGGGATTTCCATCTTGGTAGATTTACTGTTTATTTTATAATCATGCCAAGTGGCTTAAATTTACGAGCCTCAACTGATTCTCACTGAAGCCTGGTACAAGAATCCAATGGAAAGTGTTGCTGTATGATATATTATGCTTGATCCCTTTCCAATTGATTAATTCAGTATTGTTATTGAGCCTGATATTTACATGTGGCTAACTTAAAATTTAAGTATGACATATACTATAATGTACCTAAAGTTTGGATTTAGAGGTTGCTTGGAGGAAACTTATGCTGTATGGTGGCTAACATATTTTTGCTCAGCATGAAGTTTCATTCCTACTTCAAAATATTTCCCCACCCCCAATCACTTTAGTTTGGGTAATGTGTCTGTGAGAGTCCTATTAGGGGTATAGGAGAATATTAATTTGTTAGGTATCCGAATACAAGAACCTAACTAGAACCGATAGCCTTTCGAGAGGGCCATCTCTCTCCCAAAGAACTCTCTCAAGTTCCTTACACAAAATACTATTCTCCAAGATATCTTTCTCCTCTCCCTACCGCCCTTATTTATAACAACTCACCCTAACTAATCACCATTCTAATTACTATATTACACCTTCATACTAACAAACAAATATTTCCTTATACCTCTAATATGACTCTCACAGTGTCCATGTCCGATTTATGTTTGATACTTATAGGAGAATAGAAGTGTGTCAAAGTGATTATGAGTCCAACACTATTTAGACCTTATTATGCACGTATCAAATAATTGTCAGACACAATAATTACACATAAATACTATAGGAAATGACGGGACATTGTCCACATATGTGCTTCTTAGGAATTAGGTCTTGATGGCTGCAAAATAGGTTTGTTCAGTTTGAATTTTGAATATCTTAAGAAGTAGGTTTTGAAATATATTGCAGGATAAGAGAAAAGATGCTGTTAAAAAGGTCATTGCCGCAATGACTGTTGGGAAGGATGTATCGTCACTGTTCGCGGATGTGGTAAATTGCATGCAGACTGAAAATTTGGAACTGAAAAAGCTTGTTTACTTGTATCTAATTAATTATGCCAAAAGCCAACCTGATCTAGCAATTCTTGCTGTGAACACATTTGTGAAAGTAAGTACTAACTTGATTTCTTAATTCTGTGTGATTAGGGAATTGTAGAAGTACTATTTTTAATGCATATTTTTGCAGGATTCACAAGATCCAAATCCTTTAATTCGTTCTCTAGCTGTAAGGACAATGGGATGCATTCGAGTGGATAAAATCACAGAGTATTTGTGTGATCCTCTTCAGAGATGCCTTAAGGTTGTTTCTGTGGCGTATTCTTTCATATGTTTGACAATAAATATTCGGTACTTGCCTCTAATTTTTTATGCAAAGTTATTGCCTGATTCCTGGATAAATTCTCTCTTTCCTTCCTTACTTCCAATAAACTAGAATGCATATGGTTGGGAGGAGAGGAGTTCTATTATTGTGTTCTGAATAAATAGACACAATTATGTAATCTTTTGACAGGATGATGACCCTTATGTTCGCAAGACAGCCGCCATCTGTGTCGCCAAACTCTTTGACATAAATTCCGAGTTAGTTGAGGACAGGGGTTTTTTGGATTCTCTCAAAGACTTAATATCAGACAATAACCCAATGGTTGTTGCTAATGCTGTGGCAGCTCTTGCTGAGATTCAGGAGAATAGTATCAGACCAATCTTTGAGATCACGAGTCACACACTGTCAAAGCTTCTTACAGCTCTAAATGAGTGTACTGAGTAAGTGCTGCATTTTTATTTTTTTTTTTTTGTTCAAAGAATGAAAATTTTATGAATTACTTTATATGAAGGACATCAATAGGAATATAGCTATTTGAGGTTATTTTTCATTTTCATTTTCTCCCTAGTCCCTATTACAGCTGTGTTGATTCTTTATCAATGGGATATAAGAAAATCAATCTCTTTTAAAAAGTTTTGCCAAATTTCACTTGACTGGTAGCAATCAATTATTTTTATTTTACCATATCTGATAAGTGATAGGCTGATAGCAATGCCATCAAAAAGAGGAGAATTCCTATAGGGTTAAAAGTAGTCTGGGTGAAGTAAACAATAAGAAGTGTCTGGATATTAGTGCCTCACTTAGTCATAGAGGTTGTGTTGGGGGAGTAATTTTGTTTTCATTCTGGCTCCTGTGTTTGTGCAGGGAGAACTTCCTGAAGCTTCTTATTAGTTGATTGGAGTTCTGTCTCTACATTAGTTTTTAACTTCTCTGCTGTGTTCTTTACTTCAATTGCACATTTTTGTTTCTTGATAAGAAATTACTGTACTCTGGTTTTTCTTCAGATGGGGTCAAGTTTTTATACTAGATGCACTTTCTAGATACAAAGCAGAGGATGCTCGCGAAGCAGAAAATATAGTGGAGAGAGTTACTCCCCGGCTACAGCATGCTAATTGTGCAGTTGTTCTATCAGCTGTGAAGGTCATTATTCTATTAAGTAATTGATTTTCTCCACCATATATGTGTGATTTTGAGAAAGTTCAAAGTGTATTTCAACTAACTTATATCTTTTTGTCTTTCTATTCCTATTTTCCCCTTATTGATAGATGATTCTCCTACAAATGGAACTTATCACCAGCACTGATATAGTTCGAAATCTTTGCAAAAAGATGGCTCCTCCTCTAGTTACTTTGCTCTCATCAGAGCCTGAGCTACAATACGTTGCTCTGCGAAATATTAGCCTTATAGTACAGAAACGACCTACAATTCTTGCACATGAAATTAAGGTGAGTTGGTGGTAAGTCTTCCAGTTTGGTGGTGCTTGTAATTTGTAATAACGTTGAATGTAAACAATCAGGAAGATTTGTTCCGCTCGTTTTCTGTAAGCTTACTACTTCCCTTTTGTTCTCCTTTTTGCTTTCTCACCATTGATGTAGGTTTTCTTCTGTAAGTACAATGATCCAATCTATGTAAAGATGGAGAAGTTAGAAATCATGATTAAGCTTGCATCTGATCGGAACGTAGACCAGGTACACAATCTTCAACAACTTCATCTGTTCGTTTTTGCATCTACCAATTAATTTTTTAGGACATACTAAGAATTGATGCCCTTTTGATTAAATTTTTTTCAGGTTCTGCTTGAGTTCAAAGAGTATGCCACTGAAGTAGATGTAGATTTTGTAAGAAAGGCTGTCCGTGCCATTGGTAGGTGTGCAATCAAGCTAGAGAGAGCATCTGAACGATGCATAAGCGTGTTGCTTGAGCTTATTAAAATTAAAGTGAACTACGTGGTTCAAGAGGCTATTATAGTCATCAAGGATATTTTCAGAAGATATCCTAACACGTAAAAATTTCTTTCCATTCCCACAATTTTGATTGCTGATTGATCGACAGTTTGGTCATTCCACCTTCATTTTGGTTCTCTATTCTGTTTATAGTTATGAGTCTATCATTGCCACACTCTGTGAAAGCTTAGACACATTGGATGAGCCAGAAGCGAAGGTAATGGTTGTACTGTCATTTTTTAAATGGCACAAGTGATTAGTTTCTTCTTTTCTTTTTTTTCTTTTAATCAATCTCTTGAAGTCACATATACTTTCTGTTCGTCTCTCTGCCTTAAGGCATCAATGATATGGATTATTGGAGAATATGCAGAGAGAATTGATAATGCAGATGAACTCCTTGAAAGCTTCTTGGAGAGTTTCCCTGAGGAACCTTCACAAGTTCAGTTACAATTGCTTACTGCAACCGTCAAACTTTTCCTTAAGAAGCCAACTGAGGGACCACAGCAGATGATTCAGGTCATTTCTCTACAAGCATAATTATGATTTTCCGAATTTTTTGGTGACATGCGGGTCATGCCATTCTGAGACAATCACAAATGAGTTTAGTTTTCATGTGTTAGGAGTAATTGCCTCCAGCAATATCAGCATATAAACACTTCATGGCATACTGTTTGAAATCAGAACATTCAAATAATTACTGGTGCAAATTATTATGAAAATACTTTATGTAAAAACAATTATTGACAATCAAATGTTGACTTCACGTCCATTTACAGGCTGTTTTGAGCAATGCTACTGTGGAGACGGACAATCCTGATTTGCGTGACCGTGCATATATCTATTGGCGTCTCCTATCAACTGATCCAGAGGTTTGTTTTGCTGATCAATTTTTTCAGCTTCATTGTCATTATAACATTCATGTTTGGCTGTTTAGTTGATAATAGCTTTGTTTGGGGTAGAACCATGAGTAATTTAATCAGTTTTGAACCAATTCTCAAGCACATGTAATTTGAGCGAACTAACTATGTCATGATTATTATTTAAATTTTCACTACCAACCCCATCTCACTCTTGATGGCTGGGTACATGAATCTCAATTTTCTGGTACTTCCTATTTTGCAGGCAGCTAAGGATGTGGTTCTTGCTGAGAAGCCCATAATTGGCGATGATTCAAATCTGCTCGAGCCCTCGCTTCTAGACGAGCTTCTTGCCAATATTGCCACTTTATCCTCTGTATATCACAAGCCCCCTGAAGCATTCGTTACCCGCATGAAGACAGCATCTCAGAGAATCGATGAAGAATATTATCCTGAAGGAAGTGATGCAGCGAATTCAGAGTCTCCTGCCCATGCTGCTGGTGCATCGCCTCCTACTACTTCAGATGCACCTTATTCAACATCAAAGAAACCAACCCCTATCCTACCTTCTCTTCCTCCACCTCCAGCTTCAGTTCCAGATTTACTTAGTGACTTGATTGGACTCGATAACAGTGCTATTGTCCCTGTTGATCAGCCTGCTGCTCCTGCTGGGTAAGTTTGAACTGGTACCCATTTTTGTATCTTCTGGGCCTGCGAATAACTTCTCAGTCTAAGACACTAACTGATGCCTGAAATACTTCATGTGAATAAATATTGCTAGATCGTAAAACTGCTCTATACAACTGTTTCTAATAAACATTTTCATGGAGATAAGTGAATAACAACAAATATAGAACCTCTATAAGCTTTTCATAAACGGCACTTAGTATGTTTTTTGGCCTGCAGCCCTCCACTGCCTATTTTGCTACCAGCATCATCTGGTCAAGGTTTACAGATCAGTGCACAGCTCACACGCCAGGATGGTCAAACATTTTACAGTCTATCATTTGAGAACAATACTCAGATCACACTTGATGGGTTCATGATCCAGTTTAACAAGAATACCTTTGGTCTGGCAGCTGCAGGACTCTTGCAGGTAGATTTGCATAATACAGTCCGGAGTTGATTATCCATGGACGAAGTTAAATTCTTGTCTTTCTATCTAATAGGTTCCACCCTTGCAACCCGGGTCAGTTGCAAATACTCTCCTGCCCATGGTTGTGTTCCAAAATATGTCTCAAGGTCCCCCAAGCTCACTTTTGCAGGTAGCTGTGAAGAACAATCAGCAGCCAGTGTAGTACTTCAATGATAAAATTCCGATGCACGTTTTCTTCACCGAAGACGGGAGGATGGAGCGTGGAAACTTTCTCGAGGTAAAAAAGATAGTTTCAGTCTCCTTTTCTTCTCTTTTGTTGGGGGCATGATTGGGTGTTCTCAGCTGCTTCCTTTCTCTCCCTCCCCAGTATTATTTCCATAAACATGTTGATTTCTTGTTTTGTTTACTTCTCGAGGCAGTCTATGAATGTAGAATAAATGCCATTTTGGCATTGAATATCTTTTCTTGCAGACTTGGAGGTCCCTTCCAGATTCAAATGAGGTTTCTAGAGATTTCCCCGCCATTGTTGTAAACAATGTTGAGGCCGTTCTCGACCGACTGGCTGCAACGAACATGTTCTTCATTGCCAAAAGGAAGCACGGGAACCATGATGTATTCTACTTCTCTACTAAAATCCCCAGAGGAATTCCTCTCTTGGTTGAACTTACCACAGTTCTGGGAAGCCATGGATTGAAATGCGCCATCAAAACTCCAAACGTTGAAATGGCACCACTCTTCTTCGAAACCTTGGAGACCCTTCTCAAGGAATGATTCAAATTTTGTATTTTTTTTTTTCATTCTTTTTCAATCCCTTATTCTTTTATGGTATTTGTAAATCCATGCTGGGTATTTAAGCCTAGTATTTTCTGTATCCACTGAGGTCTGAGCCATATATCATTCTTTGTTTCTTGGAAAATAAACAAACCCAACTACATACATAATTGAATATAATTTAAATTGCAATGAAAAATGTGAAATTATAAATTAACAATCAGAACCATGTAGAAAATATTGGTAGCATGCTACCTCGACTCTATACTTTTATTTCATTTCCATTTTGGTTCTTGTACTAAAAAATTTCAAAACATTCATTTTAATTCCTAAACCTTTAAAAAATGATCATTTTAGTCCCTTCATTATCTTTTATATTTCATTTATTTTGTTAAAATATTTTCATTGCACATAAATTACATTAAAATTTTATAAATAAAGAATAAAATAGTCACTTTTTCAAAACACATGAACCAAAATTGGATATCTTAAAAGTAAAAGGGACTAAAATGAACAAAGTCAAAAATTGCTACAAGAACAGCAACATTCAAAACATGCAAAATTGTGTTGGTTTCGACCATTTTTCTTCATTCAATATGTGAAGGAAAAGGGTTGTTTGGAGATTACCAATAAATCAACAATACAAAGAACGAGTATACAGAGATACAAATTGATATTCTTGCCCAAATATTCACCTGGTTTCATTTTGATAGTAAAATTTGAAATGTGACTGTAAATAGAGAATAAGGAAGCTTTTATAAGTTGGTTCCTTTGGTTTGAAAGTTGGTGGGAATTTCAGAGCTCAATGGCTTAATAATGGCTGCATTTCCTGGGAGTGGAACCCAAAATCAATTCTGTCCAATGCACCGTTTTACCTAGAAAATGCTTCATGTAAGAACATGGGGGAAAAAGGAAGAAGGCTTTGGCACATTGTCTAAACACAAGTCATAAAGATGGCATAATTTTATAACTACCATGGATGAACCAACCTCCATTACTATTCTGCTTCCACATCCAAATACGAAAGCATTACATTGCATACCTGCTTCATTAGCTGCTCTACAACTTTAAGTTACAGAATCCACCTGCAAATAGGAAGCATTATAGCAATCTAACATTCTTTCTTGAGTTGCTGATGCGGGGCTACCCAGCTTGCTTCAAACAAACCATCGCCGCACTTTCTCTTCCCCGAAAAAGAGAAAAAAAAACATTGAAAGTAAAAGAGGGGCTTGGCACAGTTCAATACAAACTTTTAAATGCCAGAACTAATCAAATTACAACAAATCCACACTTCTTTCCTAAGTCTTTCTATTTCCGTGCAATGTTTCTCAAGTCAAGCGCTTAAATAAATTAACCGCAATTTTTGCATCGTGTACCGACAACGACTACAAACACAGATCACAATATTGCCCCACAGGTTTGCACACGTAAATGTATTTGAACATTGTAGTTTAAAGAAAAACCTCTGGTTTGTGCGAGCACAGTATCTTATCTTCACTGTACAATTCCACAACGACATTAAAAAGAACTAAAGGCCCAGGAAATCGCACCTCCTTGTCACCTACATGAACCGTGATCAGTCAGCCAGTCATCTCTTCCGGCGCTTTGGCTCCACCTATAGCATGAGAATTCAACATGAGAATCCACATTTCTGTTTCATAAAAACCAGACAGCATGGGATAGAAATTCATTGCACTACACTAGCTTTGACCTTTCGGCCAAAGATTGGGGATTATACAGAAAGCAGTTGATTAAGATGTCCACTAATACTACTACTCTCTTCAGTGTTGACCATACCATATGAAGAACCTGACTTTGGATGGATATATGTTGTGTAATCCATCATCGGAGATTGAAAGGACAATTTAAAGGACATGGACACCCATATGCATCTATTCAGATACGATACAGATAACACAAAAAGAAACAACACTGAAGTGATCTTGCAAAACCTGATTTAGAATCCCCACATAGTCAACTCAGAGAAACTTAAAAAACGAGGTAACTTTGGAGTCGTTAAGGAGAAAATTTAGGACCAGATGCGAACTACTAGTGCACAAGGGGCAGTTAGAATGAAAAGTATTCCCAGGCAAACTACAGAGTTCAGATGCACCATCCAGTACGCATCATTCTGCAACTTCAATTATGTGTTATTCCCAATTTTAGTGTTAACCACCAAATAAACATAAATGCAGCGCAGTTATCCAGTTGGCACCAAATGAGTACCAAAACTAAGTTATCAGTCACCAAAACCAAATTTTGTACGAGACTACTAATACTCATTAAATAGAATGAGTTTCATATAATGCAATTCAAGAGCTACCCTAGTAGGACTACACCTTCTGCCCTGCACATAACGATAATTCAGTTGTCTATACAAAATATCTCCATGATTCTCAACAGTAGCTAAAACCTCTATGTTAGAATTCATTTAGTGGCTCATCTGGCCAATATAAACAAGTTACATATGAACCAGTTACAAATAATCATTCTAGATTTCCCCAAGGTAACAAGGTTGGCCAAAAGGGACAAATAACGTTCTCATATATCCAAAATAGTACCTCCTCTGGATTTGATTCTCAAAAATACAATTATAGCAGTATGGCTCATACATAGAGATGAATCAGCAACCCTTACCTTAGCCTCGGCAGAAGGTGATACTGGAAATGCATTCAAGGACCTCTTTGCATCATTTTCTGATGAACAATCTGAACACAAAAAGTGATCCAACTTCTTTGCTTCTTCAATGGTCATTCCCATGCATGATGGATGAAACCTGCAAAACGTAGATGTGAGCTGGAAGAATCAGAAAACAAGTCCTTTCATTTCTACATTGTCGTTCACATTCTGGTACATTACCCTAATAACATCACAAAAAGTGATTGAACATAATGCTGAATGCCTATTATTAAATTTCCAAGAAAAACCATCCACCCCAGAAATAGCCTATGTGCATAAAAGAACAGGGTGGAGGACACTATCTACGATCAAATTGTAGATACATAAGACAAGCACAAGGAACCAGATACACCACGTAACTGAGCCACATAGGTTGATCACTCTACAGCAGGCGCTTATGAAATCAAGAAACTTACCAATCTTTGCATCCCTCACACTGAACCATAAGGTCATCGGGGTTGTATGGCATCTCACATTTACAGTACCTGCAATTCAACCAAATCCCAAAATAAAGATAAAATGCAATTCTTCTTATACAATTAAAAAGTTAATATCTTTTTAGAAACACGAAAGGAACCAGGTACACCATATAACTTACACAGCTACACGGTCTGGTGTGAATCCGCCAGTGGCAGCCTTGTACTCGAATCTGCAAAAGTAGTCCTCTGCACCAACATTCTCAAGCTTGGTATAGTTTTTAAAAGAGTGCACTGTGCATTTACCCTCTATAGTGTGAGCACTCTGAACATCAAAGTGGTCCGAGAGGAAAAGTTCCTTTGCCCCGTGGAACTGCCTCCGTCCTCCAATTGATTCTTCCGGCCGATAATACCACCGAACCCGAACCTTCACGTTGTTCCGGTGATCGGCTTCAATTTTCTCAACACGAGCAACGTAGGGAGGTTTGTCGGAGTCCGAGGGTCGCATTAACACACATTCACCAGCTGCAACAACCACAGAAACCCAATTCCAAAAATCAATGACACCACCCAGAAGCAAACACAAAAATTACAGGAAATGCAAACGAAACTTTGAATG